GGGGGGGCGGGGGGCGGGCCGGCTTGCCAAGAAGGCTTTGCGGGGCGCTCCTCCCGCGTCTCAGCCGGCTGGTGCTGAGGGGCGTGTGCGGGACTCGCCCGACGTGGCCGGCCAGCGGCACATCTACAGGCCTAGCGAGTCATTGGGCACGGGGGTGGTGGTGGTGTGCACTCAGGGCCGGCTCACTAACTAGGCGAAGTAGGCGATCGCCTAGAGCGGGACGGCCCTTAAGGGCACCAAACTGCACCCGCCCCGTACTCTGGGAGTTTCTTGATTATTTGTGTTTTTCATTCTTCCTAAAATGCATTTATTTTTGAAAATTGGTGGGCGCAGGGGCCCCCAGAAGGGATCCTCGCCTAGGGTGCAAAATAAGCTAGAGCCGGCCCTGTGTGCACTGCCTGTACAGTCTGCAGGCCTCCTCTGTAAAAACCGTAGGCAGGATCCAAGCCGGGCGGCGCGCTGGTGGAGCTCCGTCCCGCTCTCAGGAGGTGGCCCGGTTCCGAACGCACCCCCCCAACGCCTCTCCCGGCCCGAGATCTGGGCCTGGCTGGCGACCTGAAGTCAACGCGCCCCCACCCACCCCCATGCGTGCCCAACTGCACAATTAATGTGGGGGGGGGCTTTGCAGCCCCCCCCAACGGCCCCTCCCCGGGATCCAGGCAGGCAACAAAAGTGGAGTTGCGGTTGCTGTCGGTTTGCGCAGGCGGGGGACAGGGTAACACACACACCCCTGCTGCTGGGCTCTGAGCATGCGCCCTGCCTCCTAGGAGTCCGGGGCGTGGAGGGGAGGCGCGGGCCCGGGGGAAGGGTAGGGGCGCGGCTGGAGGAAGGGGCCCTGCGGAGGGAGGGAGGGAGAGAGCGAACCAGCCGCTTCCTGCCGCTTCCCGGCTGCCGCTGGTTGCCGCCTCCTCCTCCTCCTCCTCCTCGCCCCTCTCATGGCCCTTGCAAAATTGGGCGTAGAACAGAAAGGGTTGCCTCAGTGCTCACTTCTCGTGGCCCCTCCCTTACAGGCCCGGGGACATGCTGGTCGCCACGCTGGGGACAGGAAGCCATTCTTCTCCGGGCCCCTTTGGCCGGGGATCCTGGAGGGTTGTTGTTGTTGTTGTTTTTTGCCATCTTCTGGGCGTGGAACGGGGTCACTGGGGGGAGGTAGTTGGATTTCCCGCCTTGTGCAGGGGGTTGGACTAGGTGACCCCGGAGGACCCTTCCCACTCTGTGGCTGCCTACGGTCACAGACACTAGTAACCCACTTCCCATCCACTTCCAGTGCACTTTCCAACTGGGTTTTTACTGTGTGAACTGGCAGGATTCAGTTGGAAAGTGCACTGGAAGTGGATGGGAAGTAGATTCTTTGGGGTGTGTGAATGCGGCAGTCAGGAGCCCCGCTGGACACTGAGGCTAAGCAAGCGGGCTCTTTGGGTACTGCCAGAGGGCGTCCCATTTAAGTCGGGCAGCCCGGCGGGACCCTCCCCCAAAGGAGCCCCCCTTTCCCGCTCCTGCCTGCCCCCCTGCAGCTCTCATGGACGCCGCTTCCCTTCGCAGGTCTCCTCCCGCGACGGCCTTGGGGGGGAGGGGGCCTGATTGGGCGCGGCGGGCTTGGCCTGGCGCAGCCGGGACCTTCACACGAGAGCTTCCGCACTTAGGCTAGTGCGCTTTCAGTGCCCTTGAGCAGTCCTTTCAGCGGGATCTTCCTGTGCGGACCAGGGGGATCCAGTCGCTAAGCGATGGCTAAAGTGCCCTGCAAGTGGCATTCTCCGACGTGGGCGGCTCCTGATGTCCCGAAGGGGTCTTTCGAGGTCCGATTGTACTCCCTCCCGGGGCTCCTCAACGGAGTCGTCGGATTCAGGAGAGAGGCGAGAGACAGACCCGCTGGAATGTTAAGGGGGGGGGGGGCAGAGACACACACAGAGCACGAATAAAAGAGCCTGCCCTTTCAGGTCCCTTTGGGAGCAAGTCCTAGGCAGGTCTAGTCGGAACTAAATGGCAGTTTACTCAGTGGGGCTTACTCCCAGGAAAGTGTTTCCAGGACCGCGGCCTGAAGACAAGCTTCGACGGGAGAAGGGGTGGACGGTGCCCTCCCAAAGGCGGTGGGGCCGGTCTGACTGTGTGGCTCTCCCTGCCTCGGCTGAAAGGGTCTATTCCGCTCTGCCCTGGCTTGCCCCGTCCCCGTCTCTCCTCCGGGACGTGTCTCCCCCC